AGAAGCACGCAATGTTTTTTCAATGCAGAGCTGCTGAATCATCCATCCAGTTGAGCTATTTATGTTTTCCACAAGAACTTTTGACACCATTCAAAGCTCTGAAAGCACTTTAAAAGAGCCCTGGATTTCAGCTTGTCAGCACTTAACACTCTCTCTCTCGCTCTGTGTCTCTCACTCAGTGTCTCTCGCTCGCTCTCTCTCTGTGTCTCTCGCTCAGTCTCTCTCGCTTGGTCTCTCGCTTGCTCTCTCTCGCTTGGTCTCTCGCTCGCTCGGTCTCTCTCTCGCTCGGTCTCTCTCTCTCTCGCTCGGTCACTCTCTCTCTCTCTCTCTCGCTCGGTCACTCTCTCTCTCTCTCTCTCTCTCTCTCTAAAACTGTACACAGTCAACTATAGCATAAGGGAAGTGATGTTTTGCCCCATCAGGGACTTGTTTGTCTGTCTCGACCCACTGAGGCAGGAAGTCTGTCCGAGAGAGGATGAGCGTAAAAAAGAGCTGTTAGCTGTTAATCACGTCTCAAATCCAACAGCAGGCCATGTACACAGCCTCTCACCCACACTTCTCTCGTTTGTGCGAGCGTTATTTTCCAAATCACACACTCAGTGGACATTCCCCCGTGGCAGCCTTGCCCTCCATCAGTCACGCATGTGGGTGCGGACTTAGAGAGAGGTCACCAATGTCATGTGTGGGGGGAAACAGGGGTGGGCAACAGGACAATATTTATGGTTAGTGGGATAAATTATGCCCCAATATGCTTTTCTGACCACACTGTGGACATTGGCAGGGCTTCCCAACTGAATATTTAATTCATAGTATTCGACCGCGTCCTTAAGAAGACCACGTCGCCATGCTGGCAGGTGAGCTGTGACTCTGACTGTGCTCTGATTACTGCAGATTCAGCCCGGCAGTGGATAAAAACCAAGTAAAATAGACCAGAATGACCACAAAACAGATAAAAGGACATGTGGACGATTTAGATGTGTCTCCAGAAAACCACACGAGGAGAAGATTAGCTACATTAATGGATCCATATAACCTGCCTTTCTCCTGAGTTCAGAACATTCTGGTGTGTGATACCTTAGAAAAACGAATAAAAGTGGCCACCAAAACAAACCAGTAAAATAAAGCTCTGCTGGTCGTTCAACACAGTTTTAACAATAAACGGTCTAAAAAGCTGGAGTTAATGTAGAACTGCTAATTCAGCCTTTAACCCTGAAGGATGACACACAGACTGCTGGTCACAATAGCAACACAGATAACTGTCTCGCCTCGCGAGTAGCTAACGAAACGGCAAAGAGAGAGAGTTAGATTTGGAGACGAATGAACGGTTTTGCATTTATAAATCACTCCAGCTGGTAAAAAGTTGCAAAGTCGCAAAGCTGAAGTCATCTCATTATTTATTTATATATATATATACACACACACACACATACATACATACATACATACATACATATTGCTGCTGTTGGAACAAAACATCGTATTTCCAAAATGGTAACTTTACAGGAGAAGGAAAAAACATACTTTACTTTTAATGTAAGTCAATGGAACCAGATTTTTTTCCAACTAATTTTGGGTTGTTTCTTTTGGTCCATTCTTCATGAAATTGACCTACAATGTAAAGAATAGCAAGCATTTTCAAACTATGTCAACAACTGAAAAACAACAAAAATGGAAATATGAGGTTTTGTCCCAACAGCAGTGAATGTACGTATAGCACAAGTCCGCTTTTTCAGCTAACATCAGTTTACCTCAATAAATGCATCCTTAGTCAACAAATACCTCAAAATGTTCACTGAGCAGCAAACGAGCAGCACAGCGAAGCAACTCAGCCGCTGCAGCTGTTGAACACGTCTCACTGGCTGATCTAACCACGCGTCCCAAACCACACACTTCTGTACTTCATGCACTACACTACTGAGTGCACTTCTAGTGGTAGATGTGCTATATTTGGCATACTATAAAGTGGGCTAGTATGCAAATTGGGATGCTGGAATAATAATGCAGGCAAATCTCAGCTGTTTAGATTTCATCATTCATTTATTATCACTACAGCAACAAATCAAACAAAATCGGGGCAAAACACTCAAATATATCAGTTAATACGCTTTAAAAATGAGATTTAAAAAGTGTTTAAAAAAAAAAAAACAAACAAACATGTTTTACTGCCATTGCTGGATCAGTCACAGCTTTGTTATCTCATTACAAACCGCCACAGCAGTGATGAACGAACCTGACGTTGCCTGCCAAAATGGTGGCCGCGTGACTGTGAGGTCATCGGAAGACTATCATTTGGATTTAGTGCAGTTTTTCAGTATTTATAGTTTTTCATAGGTGGCACTATTTAGTCTGTTCTAGCTCACCAGACGTCAGAAAAATGAAATATAGTAAAAGCTTCCTGAACTAACATGATAATACACTTCCGCCACATTGCCCAGCGCTAGGGGGAGGCAATAAGGAGGTTCAGCCGCGAGCGAAAATACTGATGGTGGTAATTAGCGCTGGAGCAAGACGTTTGGCACTGCAGGCACCTCGGAGTGCGGAGGTTCCGCACACATAAGCAGTACGTCAATTAATAAAGGCTATCAAACCAAAGCCACCGGTTTGTCCATCCTTAATCCAATTAAATCCCATTTTTATACTCATGGATATCTCTACTGCGTCCGAGACAGCCCCAAAGGAGCCGGCTCGCTCAATTAGGCTGAGTGAGCGGTCATTGATTTGTCCTTTTTCTCCGTTTGGCCCACAGGAGCCTTCTGCAAATGAGCTAATTCTCTTCAAGGTGACCTCAGGTCAGGCCTGTTGGGAGGAACTTTTGATAAATACTGAGCAGGGTGCTCAGGTTAGACGAGCTTTAATCATGGTCCACTGAGAACCGAGAGGGGTCAAGGTCTCACAGGCTTCTCCTCATGTTGATGCAACACGACTGGAATGAATATCGCTTGGATTTAGTTGGACGACACATATGGACATTCGCATCCTCCTTTTTTGGCCCAAACTGGGTCATCATGCTCTGACAGGGAGGCGTTTTCTTCCTCTCATAATCGCATCAAGACTGACTTGCCTCGTCCTTGAGGCTGCGGAGGAAAACCGGCCGAGGAGGGGGTCTGTTAGGGGGTCCGCGTTAAGAACGGCTGGCCGTGCATCAACTTCAAGGCTAAGAATAACATCTTAGGATCGTGCAACTCTGCACTACTACACTCCTGAAAAGAAGGTGCTTCGAGGGTTCTGTAGTAAAGAAAATGGTTCTATATAGAACCATGAACAGTCAAAGGACCCTTTGCATGATTAAAGGGTTCTTTGCATCATGAAAGGGTTCTTCAGGTTGATGGAAAATGTGCTGTAGATCAGTCTGAAGAACCCTTTCATGATGCAAAGAACCCTTTAATCATTCAGAGGGTTGATGGAAAATGTGCTGTAGATGGTTCTATAGAGAACCTTTTTAAAAAGCACCCAAAAGGGTTCTTCTGTTGTTACAAGCTTGATACTGTAACAGTAGAAGAACCCTTTTGGCTGCTATATAGAACCATTTCCAAAAAAGTTTCTAGACCATCTACAGCACATTCTCTATCAGTCTGAAGAACCCTTTCATAATGCAAAGAACCCTTTAATCATGCAAAGGGTTCTCTGAGTGTTCATTGTTCTGTATAGAACCATTTCCTTTACTAAAGGACCCTTAAAGAGTGTATACTCTTAAAAAGAGGGTTCTAGTAAAGGGAATGGTTCTGTTTAGAACCATGAACGGGGATTGCTTAAATGGTTCCTGCATAGTGAAATGGTCTTCTTGATGGAGAATGTGTTGTATATGGTTCTAACTAGCACCAAAAAGGGTTCTGAAGTCAAGCATGCAGCAACAGAAGAACCCTTTATGGTGCTATGCAGAACCATTTTCAAAAAGGTTCTAAGTAGAACGATACAAAACATTCTCCATTAATTTGAAGAACCATTTTACCATGCAAAAAAAAGTTAAGCATGCAAATGGCTCTAAACAGAACTCAGAACCATTCCCTTTACTTAAGAACCCTTAAAGAACCATCTTTTTAAAGATTGTACACTCTCATCTTTTAAAAAAAAAATGGTTCTTCAAGGGTTCTGTAGTGAAGGGAATGTCTCTGTTTAGAACCATGAACCAGGATTGTTAAAATGGTTCTTTGCATGGTGAACCGGTCCGATTGATGGAGAATGTGTTGTATATGGTTCTATATAGACCAAAAGAGTTCCAATGTCAAGCATGCAGCAACAGAAGAACCCTTTTTGGTGCAATGCAGAACCATTTTCAAAAAGTTCATATGTAGAACCATATACCAAACATTTCCCATTAATTTGAAGAACCACTTTACCATGCAAAGAACCAGTTAAGCATGCAAACGGTTCCAAACAGAACTCAGAACCATTCTCAAAAAGGTTCTATGTAAAATCATCTACAGCACATTCTCTATCAATCTGAAGAACCCTTTCATAATGCAAAGAACCCTTTAATCATGCAAAGGGTTCTTTGAGTGTTCATGGTTCTATACATAACCCTTTCCTTTACTAAAGAACCCTTAAAGAACCATCTTTTTTGGTTCTTTAAGGGTTCTGCTGTACTGTTTAGAACCACAAACCCGGACTGCTTGAATGGTTCTTTGCATGGTGAAACGGTCTTCAGACTGATGTTGCATATGGTTCTATATAGCTCCAAAAAGGGTTCCGATGTCAAGCATGCAGCAGTAACAGAACCCATTTTGGTGCTATGCAGAACCATTTTCATATACAAAACATTCTCCATTAATCTGAAGAACCATTTCACCATGCAAAGAACAAGTTAAGCATGCAAATGGTTCTCATAGTTCTAAAGAGAACCCTAGGAGAACCATCAGTCCAAGCTATGAAAACAAACAGGAAGGCAGAAGGCTCGAGTTCACACCGTTACCGCAACGCAGTCCGCTCAGTGGTCTGAGCAGAAGCAGCAGCAGCTCCTGGAACCGAACCACGGAGTGAGTAATGAGGGGAGAATGTTCTACCTCAGCTTCGCGCTCACGCTGGCTCCTCGGCTGGGGATCCGGGGTTCTTTTCGGTTCGCACGGTCGTCTCGTTGCGGCTCTCCCCGCGACTGCTTGGCCACTCTGGACGGTGGAAACTGCTCGTCCTTCTTCTCAACTTCTTTGAGCGGCGGCTCGTCCGCGCCGTTGCCCCCCAAAAAGTACAGAAGTAGGAAAAGTCCGAGGCACAGCGCGATCGCCGCGACCCTGCAGTGGATCCTCATGGTGGGACAGCGTGGCGCGCATGGAGCCGAGCGGGGACTCAGGCGCGCTCCGGCGGCGCTGCTACACTTCTGCAGCCGCCTTATTGTGAAGAAGAGCGATCCTCCTGCTCAGCCCCGCTCCGCTCAGCGCCCAGATCATCCACGCAAATGAGCCTCCGGAGGAGGGTCCTCCGTCCCTACCGTAACGCCCCGAACACACGCGCCCGGCGGTTTGATGCAGGCGTTTCCAAACTACACGACTGAGTTAACGCAAACCTAAACACGACACTTTCTGCCAATACGGCAATCTGATACATATATACACACCCATAAAGGTTCTTTAGTAAAGACAATGGTTCTATATAGAACCGTGAACTCTCAAAGAACTCCTTGCATGGTGAAATGGTTCTTGAGATTGATGGAGAATGTGTTGTATGTGGTTCTACATAGAACCGTTTTGAAAAGAGCTGCATAGAACCAAAAAGGGTTCTGCTATTGTGACGATGCCAAGCTTATTACAGTAGAAGAACCCGTTTTGGTTCTATATAAAACCCTTATGGTTCTATATAGAACATTTTTGAAAAGAGCTGCATAGAACCTAGAAAGGGTTCTACTATTGTGACGATGCCAAGCTTGTAACAGTAGAAGAACCCGTTTTGGTTCTATATAAAATCCTTGTGGTTCTATACAGAACATTTTTGAAAAGAGCTGCTTAGAACCTAGAAAGGGTTCTGCTATTGTGACGATGCCAAGCTTATTACAGTAGAAGAACCCATTTTTGGTGCTGTATAAAACCCTTATGGTTCTATATAGAACATTTTTGAAAAGAGCTGCTTAGAACCTAGAAAGGGTTCTGCTATTGTGACGATGCCAAGCTTGTAACAGTAGAAGAACCCGTTTTGGTTCTGTAAAAAGCCCTTTTCAAAAGTTTTCCATCAATCTGAAGAACCATTTCACCATGCAAAGAACGCTTTAAGCCTGCCGGTTGTTGTTTGAGTGTATTTATCTGTTCCTCAATAAATAAATATATAAATAAATAAGATTAAATAACACTGTAAAATTGTATTTTATATTTAGAATGGTTCTTTGCATGGTGAAACGGTCTTCAGACTGATGGACAATGTGTTGTATATGGTTCTATATAGCTCCAAAAAGCATTCCAATGTCAAGCATGCAGCAATAACAGAACCCATTTTGGTGCTATGCAGAACCATTTTCATATACAAAACATTCTCCATTAATCTGAAGAACCATTTCACCATGCAAAGAACAAGTTAAGCATGCAGATGGTTCTCATAGTTCTAAAGAGAACCCTAGGAGAACAAGCTTGGCATCGTCAAAATAGCAGAGCTCTTTTTGGTTCTAAGCAGCTCTTTTCAGAAATGTTCTATATAGAACCATATACAACACATTCTCCATCAATCTGAAGAACCATTTCACCATGCAAGGAGTTTGAGAGTTCACGGTTCTATATAGAACCATTGTCTTTACTAAAGAACCTTTATGGGTGTGTATATATGTATCAGATTGCCGTATTGGCAGAAAGTGTCATGTTTAGGTTTGCATTAACTCAGTCATGTAGTTTGGTGCTGTAGAACCTGTTTGGTGCTGTAGAACCTGTTTGGTGCTGTAGAACCCGTTTTTTGGTACCATAAACAAATATGGGAAACATATTTCAGCCATATAACAACATATACAAACATACATGTGTAACACAATCACAATTAACAATACATGATAGAAAACATCATAGTATATATTGGTGGCTTTATGTTATATAATATAAGGTTTTATGTATCTTTGTTTCTTCCACATACTTCCTAACGAAGTGAAGATCATACATCAGGCATATATATGATCAGGGCTGGGCAACATGACGATATATACTGTTATTGTGATATATTATGTTGCCATACAATACAATATGCAAGTATCTGAACATATAATGGGTTACTTGTACTTGTACTTATACTTGTAGAATGCGGACTGACTGCATGTTTCATTATAAATAGGGCAAAATTATTCCTGTTAAACTGGATTTAGTGCAACATACTGAATAAAAAAATGTAGCACAACTTCTTCTTTTTTCGATGTACGATGTGATGTATGTATGATCCATATATTATGTACATATATGTCCAATATTTGATACTTGCATACATATACACAACATGCATTGTACATATATCTTAAAATATATGCCTGACCCTTCATGATATGTGTGCATTTATGGCCATATCATATCAGATTTCTGTATGCATGAGAAAAAAAAAAAACATAAAACATAAAGTGTGCCATTACTTTTTCCACAAGCCACATTTTGTGTTTCATTTTCTGTTCCCAATATTAAGTTCAGTAAATAAACAGGGTTTGTGCACTAAACTATGCAGAAGTGTGTTCTCTGTAGAAGGTGTGTTCACCTATTTTCACTCAAAACAAAATAAACATGCATCTCGAACGGGGCGCCCAAACTTTTGCAAATGACCTTATCTATCTGTTTCTTGATAAATAAATAAATTAATTAATAAAATTCAATAACGCTGTGAAATTGTATTTTTTACAATTTACAACAACAGCAATACTACTACTACTACTACTACTACTACTAATAATAATAATAATAATAATAAATAGAACTTATAGAATATTAGGCAAGTCTTAAAGTCAACCTGAAATAAAATTAATACTTTTTTAAACCATGTTAGTTCTGTGGTCATTCCAGTTGGTAGTTGGAAGCTTTTTAATGTGAATTGGCTTAAAGGGAAATTCCACTGATTTTTCAAAATTGCTGCATAAGTTAGTCATTGAAATGTAAACAACCTCATTCAGAATATTTCGAGGTAAAATGGTTTGTTTTGTAGACAAACTTACACACTCAGATTTTTTACAGTGGTGGTGATGGGAACCAGGGGTCATAATGTCTACAGCACATGTGTCAGGCTCCAGTCCTGGCAGGCTAAAACACTGCAGACTTCACTCACTACTTCATTAAACACACCTGATTCAGCTCACCCGCTAATCAGCAAGGCCTTCACGAACTGAATTCAGAGTGTTAGATGAAAAACTCTAATCTCCACAGCAATTTGGCCTGGAAGGTCCCCAGTTTCACATGCCTGGACTACAAAATAAACATAGCCATTGTACTTAATATCCAAAACAAACAGTGTTTTTATATGTAACACTGATAATGTAAACATTCCATGTAATAACTTTCTGTGAGGGAGCTTTTAGAGGTGGACGCCTGGTTCCTATCACCATCACTGTGAACAGTTCAGACTCGATAAGTTTCTCTAGACCGGAATTTTTCACATCAAACCACTCTAAATGACTTTGTTTACATCTTAATGACTTATTTATGCAGACATATCAAAGAATCTGTTGAACTCTCCTTGTAGAGTCATTACTCATATCCTTTCGGGTGTTTGGTTCCTACCACCACCGCTGTGATCATTTCTAACTCTGCAAATTTCTATAAAAGTGAGCACTGCACATCAAAGCACTCTGAATAGCTTCGTTTACATGTTGAAGATTTTACTATGCAGAACTTTTGAGAAATCAGTGGATTTCCGCTTTAAAAACTTCACACCACTGAGTCTATTTTTTGCGTCCCCTCGTATTCGAGGCATTACGGTACAAGCATGGACGCCGTGTAGAGCAGGAGCTGCTGCATGTGGTCTTGTTTTCTACTCAGGAGCGAGCAGAGAGGTGAGGACTGGAGACTCTGGGAGGAATTTGGTGGAGGTTTAACATAAACCAGCTCAGTAAACTAACGGCCTGTTTGCTTGTGGTGGTTTTAACGCTGACAGACTTCAGTAAGGAAACGTTTTCTCCCTTAAAACCTCATATTTATTCAGCTGTTGCTAAGGAAATAGCGCGAGGGGGTACGAAGCTGAGATATTCGCCAGCTTCTTATTCGAATTGTCCCGTTCCACCTTAAATGGTGCAGCAGTTACAGTCCGCCGATCGAGGCCTGAAGCGCCAGAATGGAACTGCTGCGCCATTTAAGGTGGAACGGGACAATTCGAATAAGAAGCTGGCGAATATGCAGCCAACCTCAGCCTCTTTAAGGAGGCAGTAAACAAAAGTTTATTTTACTGTGAATGTCAGAAACTATCAGGCATAACATTATGACCACCTCCTTGTTTCTACGCTCATTGTCCATTTTATCAGCTCCACTTACTATATAGGTGCACTTTGTAGTTCTACAGTTACAGACTGTAGTCCATCTGTTTCTCTGATACTTTGTTAGCCCCCTTTTACCCTGTTCTTCAGTGGTCAGGACCCCCATGGACCCTCACAGAGCAGGTACTATTTGGGTGGTGGATCATTCTCAGCACTGCAGTAACACTGACGTGGTGGTGGTGTGTTAGTGTGTGTTGTGCTGGTCTGAGTGGATCAGACACAGCAGTGCTGCTGGAGTTTTTAAACACCGTGTCCACTCACTGTCCACTTTATTAGACCTTGTTAGGCCACCTTGTAGATGTACAGTCAGAGACAATAGCTCATCTGCTGCTGCACAGTTTGTGTTGGTCATCCTCTAGTCCTTTATCAGTGGTCACAGGACGCTGTTGGCTGGATATTTTTGTTGGTGGACTATTATTGGTCCAGCAGTGACACTGAGGTGTTTAAAAACTCCAGCAGACTGCTGTGTCTGATCCACTCAGACCAGCGCAACACACACTAACACACCACCACCACGTCAGTGTTACTGCGGTGCTGAGAATGATCCACCACCCAAATAGTACCTGCTCTGTGAGGGTCCATGGGGTCCTGACCACTGAAGAACAGGGTAAAAGGGGGCTAACAAAGTATGCAGAGAAACAGATGGACTACAGTCTGTAACTGTAGAACTACAAAGTGCACCTATATAGTAAGTGGAGCTGATAAAATGGACAATGAGTGTAGAAACAAGGAGGTGGTCATAATGTTATGCCTGACCGGTGTATATTCTCAGTGTAAAGTAGCTTGTAAGCTACCCAAGCTGTATTTTGTTAGCTGCCTTGTGTAGAATAGAGTTCAGTCCAGGCTGTCAGATGTTGTCACTATGCTTATACACGGATTTTTAGGTATAAAGTTTGTTAATTCAGTCTGTGGGTCCAGCTACAGCATGCTATTCTAAACTGAACTTGAATATGACAGAACATAAAGCAATAACACTAAGCTATGCATGTCCGAAAGTATCCAGACATAGAGCTGGGCAATAGGACAATATTTATCGTTATCATATTTCCAATATTGTGCATCTATACATCCAGTAGCAATGTTCCTGTTTTTTTCTGCAATTTCTCTGCACTGCTAGTCTCAGTTTCTGTAATTTTATAAACATTAATGCATTAATTTCAGCGTATTTGTACATGGAATATGGCAGAAATCAACATTGGCCTACAATCACCTTATCAGTGTATCCCTAATTTTATGGGCACTGTACAGTGGATACACTACTCAATATCGATCACACACATTGCTAAAAATATTGCTGTTATTAAAACTGAAAATCAGTTACACAGTCTGTCATATCACGCTATACCGATACATCATCCAGTACTACTTCATACCCACTTCTGTTGACCATCCACTGTAGCGGTCAGCTGCACCACAACGTGGTCTCATTTACGTCACCAGAGCTGCATGGAGTGTAATATTGGCATCTACTGCTGTGCTGTGGTGCTGCCCTTCATGCCTCATGAACCTAGCATACATTTTCGCTCTAACAGCCACAAGGTGGAGTCGTAAACTTCATTAAGGCCATAATGCATTGTTGCACAGCTCGAAGTAGGTCAGGTCACACACTTTAGATCAGTTTTACAATCGCCTACAATTCCACTTTCCCTCCACTACTGCAGCCACTTTATTCTGTCCTTTAATACAGGGGTGGAATGTAAAGCGAGCATTAATCAATGTGTTTTAATGTGAACAAAACATAACCTAATCTTTAATTAACACCTTAAATCCTGGGCTAATTATTCAGTCTTTAGTGTTATTATGCAGTAACTATGATTATTTACTGCTTTGAAACTAATATAGTTCTGGAATTAAACAGGACGTGCACTATTAAAAAAAAATGAACATAATTAAGTTGTTGAGATTATTAAACAAAGTAATTTAGAGTGGTTTTAGTGAAATGGTTTCATTGTGGAGACTGAACAGCTTTCTGTGAGAGGAGTTTTATAGGCATGAATCTCTTCAGACGTCTGGTTCCTATCACCACTACTGTGAACAACTCTGACTCTAGGTTTCTCTAGAGCAGTGCATTTCACACCAAACCACTCTGAAGGACTTTGTTGACATCTTAATAATGTTATAATCCAGAATTTTCAAAAAAATAGTGGAATTCCCCTTTAAGTAAGTTGTGTAGTTAAGAGTGTGAGGATCCAAAGAATGCCCCTCTTCATTTCAGCCCCTTAGTATTAATATTGTTAATTAACATTAATGATATTAATCCCAGTGTGTGTTATATAGTAAATACAATGAGATTCATATGTAAGTCATGTGATTGAGAGTGAAGAATTGTGTGCTTTCAAATAGGGAGGCACCAATATGTGAGTTTTCTGGTCAATTCTGATTTCTTTCCAGCCAATTTGGCCGATTTTTAGCCTTTTTTACCCAAAGCTCGCGCTGTGTGGGCTAAGTAAACACGTGAAACACCCCAGCATGTTTCCAGTGCTTTCTGTTAGCCACACTTCCAATATAAATAACATTACATGCTCTTTAATGGGCTGAACTGGTATGTGGAAAAATAAAAAAAACAAAACATGAATCAAATAAAACGCTAAAATCAGGCAGTCTGACCTTCCCAGTATATCACAGTAATTACAATTTTTTTCTTTTTATTTTATATATATATAAATTTATATATATGTATGTGTGTGTGTGTGTGTGTGTGTGTGTGTGTGTGTGTGTGTGTATGCATATATATATATTTAATATAAAATATTTAAGTATTTACACATGTGTAAATATTTAAATGTTTTTAAATAATTACAAATATTTAAATATAATAAGTTTTCTGGTTAGTTTTCCATATGTCAGTTTTTATTTATATATATTTAAATATATAATATTTTATTTTTTCTATTTAATTTATATATATATATATATATACACACACACACACACATGTGTATATATATATATATATATAAAAGTACTAAATGTTAAGCATAATGTCACGCATTCGGCTAGTCAGCCAATGGACTACATTTCCCAGAATACACTGGGGAATCAAGATACGGAGCTATTTCCCTCGCTTGCCAGTAATGACTCTGACTCCACTTCCCAGAATCCTTAGCCAGCCATTCTATCACCACTCGAGATCACCTGAATACTAATGCTGTTCACCTGTGCGTTAGATAGCTAGCATATTAGCCCGGGCTATAGCTAAGCTAGGTTCATCGCGAGGTATTGCCTTCCATTGAGAAACTACTGAGCGTTCTTCCTGTTGATATATAGATCGTGTGTATGACCTTCTGTTTACTGTTTTTCTCTGACTCTGTTTTTGGATTTGCCCTTGTGTACGTTTGCCTGGTTTATTGGATACATGGTTTTGATTCATCGCCTGTTTTCTGGCCTTCGCTCTGTTTTCCCCTTGTTGGTTCTGGTAGCCTTTTTTCATCTACTGTGTATTTTGGAGCTGACCTATGCCTGTTTTCTGACGACGTTACTGATTCCTGATCCCACAAGTAAAGCGTCTGCTTACTGGTCAAACGTTACACATAATGAGTCGTATGTAATTATAATAATTTTCTCTCTGCCTCACATTATTTGTATCAAAAAAAAAAACAGATTGGCCAAAATAAAGACAATAAATTGGCTGATGGAGATTCATCTGGTCATTCCAGTTGTGCTTTCAAAGGTGTGAATCTACATACAGACCCTTTAGCGAAAGAATTCTGACTCTTCCAGGTATCTGACTGTGGAACAGCTCTGGACAGTCAGCATGATAACCCCAGCGTTCGAGCTGAGTCAAGACCCCGACTTCCTCACACTGGTTATCCGCGTCCCCTACACACGAACGTCTGAGTTTGACATCTACGTCGATGGAGAGGACTTCAAGTTCTACGCCAAGCCTTATTTCCTCAGGTGGGTGGTCTGTAAAGAAAATCTTACTGACTGAAGCCAAGAATGTGATGATAATAAAAAACAGGGGGCAGTTAACCTGCAGGCCAGAAGAAGTATGGAAGCAAGAAGTGACTTGTTTTAGTATGTTTCCAAAATATTTTAGGGTTAAGGCAGTAATGCCAACAACCTACACATGTTCACTGATGTGTAGCTTAACCAAGGCCTTTTTTTTCCAGAATATTCCTTTGGCCTGCAGTGATGTGCTTATAGAGCTCTTACTTTAATGCATTATATGGGAAAAACTCTTGAGGTCGATGCTGATAACAGTCCTATCTGTTCATTTTAATTATTTAGGAACTCCTAATTTAACGCCTGATTCAGTTCATCAGGCCTTCAGGAGCATCTGAATGTGAGGATCAGGTGGATCTGATTGTAATACTCTCCTTCAGTCTGACTAATTCTGCATGCAAAATTGGCCACAACTATAGCCGAGGTTACTCGACACGACTTTTACCCCGATTTTTTCTCAGTCTGAGCTGGTCAGCTCTATTCTGCAGATTTTTGGGTCAGTTGGACTCGACAGTCGAGTCGTGTCTGAGGGGATTTTTGGCCTGTTGATCGCATTTCAAACCAGTTGGAGTTTATCAAACGTTTTATTTTTTCGCCCGACTCTGAATCTACATTTTACATTTAACATTTAAGGCATTTGGCAGACGCTCTTATCCAGACATGCAGTTTGATCGTTTCACGCAGGTAGGTGAAGGTAGTGTTAGGAGTCTTGCCCAAGGACTCTTATTGGTATAGTGTAGGGTGCTTACCCAGGCGGGGAAGGCAGAGGTGTTACCCACTACACTACACCAACCACTAATCTAGTGTTAACTGGTCAGCGACTCAATCTGAACAGATTCCTGCAACAGCCAATGAAAACTGAGCACGAAAGAAGAAAATACAGCAAGTAAACAAAGAAAAACGGCGAAAAGTCTCTCACATGTGGAGCGAAGCTTTTTAATGAGCTGAGTTTAAGGCACAATCGAGTTTTTGTACATTTAAAACTCTAAAAAATACCAAACTGATCACATTTTAAATCCATGATCTTCACTTAAAACATGTTTCCCTGCTGCTTCTTTACTGTCTCAGCGCAAACGGCAGAGAAAACAGCAGCAGCAGCTCCACGTTTGTTTGAGTCTCCTAGTAACGGGAGAACACGAGAGTACGCAAGAGTACGCGAGAGTTCAGTGAGCTCCGTTCGGTTCAGCAGCAGCTTAAAAGTTTAGTATCCCTAATCGTTTAGTGTGGATCCCCAATATTTCAGTCGCCCAAAAAATCTTTTTATGACCTGTTCAGACTTTAAAAGTCGTGTAGTGTAACCGAGGCTTATCCAGACTTATCCAGCATTCTGATTGGTTGTCTGCATGTCTGTGTATACGGATCGGTTTTAATCTGGCTGAAGGGCAATGTGGAGTTATGAACAGTGTCACGTGTTTAAAAGTTATTAAACCCTTTTTTAAAGTGTTTGGAGGCTGATTAGCCAGATATTCTTCTGTGTTTGCCTGCATGTACCAGAGAAACAACAGTCTGTGGTTGGTTATTTTGCATGTCAGTCAGACGACCCTTTCCTGTCAAAGCAGGCGGTTCTTCACTGTGGGTGGATAACTAGGTTTAAAAGATTATTGCTGGAGACTCAGCAGGAATAAAGCAAATGGAGACCCAGTTTGTTGGAACCTGTTGATGCAGATATTTAGTTATGCTCTGTTGTTCAACGTTAATAAACATGTTAAGTTTTGATATTTATTTTTACAAAGAGTAACTGCCAAACATTTGTCCTGTAATCTGTATAAACAGTGCATTGCTTAAGCTAGAATACATTCTAGTGATGTTTTATTTCTGCTTCATATCTGCTAAATGAAGTGGAACGCTGAGAGCTTCTGTACTGTGATGTACTTTATCAGCAGTTCACCTGGTTTGATGTCTTATAGGTTGACCCTGCCTGGACGAATAGTGCAGGATGGAAGAGAAAAGGCCTCGTTTGACATTGACAAAGGTAGCACCCTTTTTTCTTTCTTGGGAACGAGCCTGATAATCTATTGAGCGATAAAGCAGCAAACGTTTTGATTAATATCTACAAGTAATCACTAACGAACCGTTTAGAACCTCAGCCTCTAAGTGGGTGGGTTATGTTACACCAAAATCAAGTGATTGTTATTCTCTGATTCAACACAACCGCAGGTTTTCAGTGATACCAGTTATTAACACTAATGTTTAATATGTGCAAATGTGTAACCTCAAAACTGGAAATTCGTAAGTGTCATAAATAATAATGTATATGATAATTTGTATAAGTCACTATTCTATAGTATAAGTATAGTAGTATACACCGATCAGGCATAACATTATGACCACCTCCTTGTTTCTACACTCATTGTCCATTTTATCAGCTCCACTTACTATATAGGTGCACTTTGTAGTTCTACAGTTATAGACTGTAGTCCATCTGTTTCTCTGCATACTTTGTCAGCCCCCTTTTACCCTGTTCTTCAGTGGTCAGGACCCCCATGGACCCTCACAGAGCAGGTACTATTTGTGTGGTGGATCATTCTCAGCACTGCAGTAACACTGACGTGGTGGTGGTGTGTTAGTGTGTGGTGTGCTGGTCTGAGTGGATCAGACACAGCAGTGCTGCTGGAGTTTTTAAACACCTCAGTGTCACTGCTGGACTGAGAATAGTCCACCAACCAAAAATATCCAGCCTGTTATACACAAACATGACTGGACTAAAACAGATTTTTATGGATTTTTTAGATTTTTATGTTTGAGAATCTTATATTTTACTACACTTCTAATCTATGATGAGAGAAATTACAGTATTAGCAATACATGCCGATTGTGTTGGGATTACCGACGGTGCTTTGAGTTGTCTTCTGCTTTCCTGTTGTCCAACTGCGGCTTAATAGATGGTAGAATATTCTCTGACCAAAAAGCAGAAAAACGTAAAATAAAATTGATGCCAGATATTGGTGTATGTTCAGAATGGCGCTCGCTGATGTGATTAGGTTAGGCTCGCTGAGGATTGGACTAATCCACAGAGAAGTGGGGCCTCTTATGCGCTGCTCTTCTCGAAGTAAGAGAGATAATGTAAGATCAAGTCCAGCCTGATATGCTTGTTCTCAGAGGGATTTAAAGCCAGAAACTAATCCTAGATCACCACGTTTAAGTCCTAAAGCCTTAATACTTCGGGCATCAGGTCTGAGAGACGTGCGTGATTGGAGCATTTGAAAATGCGTTGTGGTAGTTTTGAGTTTTGGAATAATAAATTAAATGCAGGAGAAACAATGATAGAACAGACATTGAAATACAGTGGACACAAAAAGCATCTGGACACTTTAACCATCTGTAAAGTTGAATAAGGTTCTTTAGATTTCTTTGTAAAATGCTTCACAGGCTGATATTTGTTTGAGAAAAACACTCTTAGCACAACGAGAGGGTGACGGTGGACTGTTTGTGCAAAAACTAGAGAAGAATTTCAGCCGGACTACAGCAAGACTACAAAGGTGGAAACCTCAAGTCAAGTCCAGTCAGGCTTTATTGTCATTTCAGCTCTATACAAGTACACAGTGAAACGATCCAACATTCCAGGACCAACACAGGAACACAAGTGCGAGACAATGCAATACAATAAACACAGTGAGGACAATACAGTTCAATAAATAATCACAAAATACTTACAGTAAATACAAAACAGAGCACAGGCAGCACACAGTACTGAGAGTATGTGGTGCTGTGCAAAGGAGGATGTGATATACTATGACACATTAGCAGCTTAGCAGATAGTCTAGCATATATGAGCATAGCAGTCACTGAGGCAGCAACCAGAGCAGCGATATACAGTGTTTGGTTGATACAGTAATTCTAGCAGCTAACATTGTTAAAGTGAAGTAAAATGTAAAAGTATTTCAGTGAAATGCAGTAATTATATTTAAATGCAGTTTTCCAGACATAATTTGGAACTGCGAGACGTGGGAAGTGAGTTAGTCCCATATTGTTATTTATGCAACAGTTAGTTTCGGCCACACAAGCTGATTGGTTGAGAAGCGTTCTAAGCGACATAGCAGCACGGTTTTTTCACAAACACTGTATCACTCCGCTGAGATGCTGTTGCTAAGCAACAACTTTGACAGCTGTAGGAGACGCTCAAGCTATTTGAATGTTTTTACTTCTTACTTTGCCACAAACAGAAAACGAACACTTTTAAGATCACATTTGACCGACAGCTGATTTGGTCAGACTCTGAAGATGAGACGACACTAAATTCCTAAACTGTCATCACCACTGAGCAGCTTTTCAGTCGGCAGCTGTGACAGAAGAACAGCTAAACAACCTGGAATCAGCCAGAAATGAACCCAACACCATTCGCCAAACTAAATGGGCTGTAAGATGCTTTACAGACTGGCTGGAACAAAACAACATTAATATTGATCTAATGAAAAATGACCAAACTGAGCTGAACTTGATATTGCGGCAGTTGTATGGCTCAGTCTGTACTTCAAAAGGCGAGGCATACAGCAGACTGTGCAGCGAGTGGGCAGAGTTCGTTGCTCTGATGCAGGAACGAGCTGCTTGTTAAGGAACTATAATTTGGTGAAGGAACTGCGAACATTAAAACATATTAAACACCGCGTTCACGGCCCAGTTTATTAATTTATTACTTTATTTATTTTACTGTTGTATAAAAGCAATAGAACACTCGAGGTCGTGTGTTATCGTGAATAACATCACATAACATCGCAGCCGTGATGTTGCTTCACAATAACACACTCCCTCTCGTGTTCTATTGCTTAAGTATGTTTGGTGTGTGTGCGCGTGGGTGTCCTTCAACTCAGTCTGTGGGAGTTGAGGAATCTGATGGCTTATGAAAGAAACTGTTGCACAGGCAACAAGCCAGACCTCTCCTCCAATCGCGTTACAGACCTCTCCTCCAATCGCGTTACAGACCTCTCCTCCAATTGCGTTACAGACCTCTCCTCCAATCGCGTTCAGCTGTCCAATGACGTTGCATAGGTGGCAGTTCAAAAAGATGTGGTGCCATGTGATTGGAGGAGGAAAATGGAAACAATCCCCCAAAAAAACAGTAAAAAGCTGAAACTCTGTTTAAAATAAATGCTGCTGGTTTGACATTTTGTTTCCTCACCGTGGCCTTAATGCATTTTTATGGCACAGATGTCCAGGTATTTTTGGGGTTTCACCTCATCAAAAAGATTCTATGTTATTCTCTTGGGCAGAAAATATTCGTGACTGTGAGTGACGGTGAGACTGTGAGTTCACATGAAATGGATTTATCAGTTATGCTCCTGGCGGGATATTTTTGAGTGATGGACCGCTCTCAAACTCAGAAACTGACCAGTGATTAATGGGTTAGAGGGCAGCTGAAAAACTGCTGCAGTTGATGGGACACAGTTTGTGACTGCACATCGGTATCAGGCCTGTGAGAAATTAATCCTGTGTGAAAGCAAAACTGATCACAGATGCAGGACTGAGATGGACCTTTGTGTATAATTTCATTCAAATACCTGGTCGAGTCCTGGTGCTCCTGAAAGTCTAGTGTTCATAGTCACCTATTCGTGAGCTGTACTGTCTATGTGGAGTGTGTAATATTAAATATTTCCTCACGACTCAAGCGCAGTCGTGCTAGCCAGGGGTGGGATAAAATATCTATACAACGATATATCGTATCACTTTCTTTTGCGATACATTATTGATACACAGGCGCCAAATATTGATTTATTTATTGAAACATGCATGCACTGTAAACGCTCTTAACTGACCCCCCTCCAGTTTGACTTACCAGATTCACTACTTCATGGCTCCACATGGTGGCGCTAAGGCGCTATCAAATGAATAGGGTAAACCTGCAGTGAAGAAAAAGAAACGCGCAGGGGAGAAATGGTGGACAAACAAATCAGACAGGCACTGTCCTCTTTCAAGACCTCTTTCCCTTTTACCCTGTTCTTCAGTGGTCAGGACCCCCATGGACCCTCACAGAGCAGGTACTATTTGGGTGGTGGATCATTCTCAGCACTGCAGTAACACTGACGTGGTGGTGGTGTGTTAGTGTGTGTTGTGCTGGTCTGAGTGGATCAGACACAGCAGTGCTGCTGGAGTTTTTAAACACTGTGTCCACTCACTGTCCACTCTATTAGACACTCCTACCTTGTCAGTCCACCTTGTAGATGTAAAGTCAGAGACGATAGCTCATCTGCTGCTGCACAGTTTGTGTTGGCCATCCTCTAGTCCTTCATCAGTGGTCACAGGACGCTGTTGGCTGGATACTTTTGGTTGGTGGACTGTTCTCAGTCCAGCAGTGACACTGAGGTGTTTAAAAACTCCAGCAGCACTGCTGTGTCTGATCCACTCAGACCAGCGCAACACACACTAACACCATTAGTAGTCCATTAGGTAGTACAAACACTAGTGAACAAATCCAGATGTTTTTAGTTGTACTGTAATGTTAATACATAAAGCCAGCAAGGATTTGGGTTTTTACAGTTTGCCTGCTGGAAACATCTCTGGCTTTAAGAGCTGAGGCACCACCTTCTGTGCCTGTTTTTAATAATAAATAAAACTGATTACATTAAAAACAGTCTTACCTTTAGACAATAAACTATTTTCCTTCCCGTTTTAAAATGTATAATTCCAGCCATGCGTGCCTTACTGCTGGTGTGGGTTTCCTCACAATCAAAGACTCAGAAAAATGCTATTTGAGTGCTAATAGCGCCCCCTAGTGGGAACGTGAATCATTTTGGAGAAATATTCTCTGTAAATTTCATAAAATGAAAATTAAAATACAAACATTTACATACTGCTTCTGTTTTTCCCCACAGTTAAAATGACAGTTTGTTCCTCTTATTAAGATACTTTTTTGAAGCATTTTGTGTAACTTGTGCTAAAAATTTGATTTATGCTACAACACTTGCAACTTTTATAGCACCAGCGCTACATGCTCAAACTTTTTAACGTACAGTCCTGTATGTAGTGGACCTACAAGGT